ACCCAGGGAACCCGGGGACCCCGAGGAATCTGGGGAACCTCCGGGGAACGTCCGGGGAACGGGCAAAGTAAGCCCCCGAGGCACCAACCTTTTACCAAGTAAGAAGCCCTTAGGCAAGCCTCAAGGGGGAAAAAACAAGACGGAGGTTTTTCGTCGCTTTTGGTGCCTGGGGGCCCTCGCTGGGCCTCGGGGCCGTCAACAAAGCTAGCCGCGACGAGTAAGGGGTCCCCAGGAATTGGCCCAGAGCCCCGCATGGAACAGACATCAAGGCATCGGAGGTCTGGGGCCGCCTCGGGATCACGGTCGGAGCGCTTTCTAGAAGAGGGGGCCGGTTCTGATAGGGGAGAAAGGCCCTGGCAGTCTCAGACGTTCTCGCACGGCTTCGGAGGTTGGGGGCTCGACGGCGTCAGAACGGCGGTGCTCATGCCCAGGCTGGCCTCCTGCTGGCCACAGGACAGGCCTGGAGGAGCGCAGCGTCGCTTGCCTCGCTCGTCCGTGGAGCACGTGTGGTGCGTTCCCGCAAGTGTCAAGTCGGGCGTGCTCCTCTACAGGAGGAGTACTCAAAAATAGTCAGAACAACTAGTATGGGGACGAGTGTTTGTACTTCTGTCTATGCTTGATTATGTTTTGACTATATTGCACTATTCTTCCAAAATCCGCCTGTAGGAGGACATGCCCGACCCAACGCAAGTGCGGGAGAGCGAAAAACCTCCGCGCTCTTGTGCGCAAAGGGTTGTCTTCCCTCGAGCCGAAAGAGGCCGCTGGCGCAGACAGAGCCGGGTGAGAGGGGCCAACCTCCTCCTGTCGGGTCTCTCGGCTTGACAGTCATGATCACAATCCGGTGATCTGGAGGAGAGAGGGCTCTCCACGACCCAGTGGGTCCGATGATGCGCCCCGATGCCCTCACGTCGCATCGATGGATATCCGAGCACACACACACACACACACACACACACACACACACACACACGCCAGAAGGGCGGCCCCCCGCCCTCACGGATGGGGCTTGTTTCGGTTGGTTCGACTGTACAAGCGGTTCGATCGACGCATGGCTGAAGGGCGGCATTTGGGCAGCCATGTGCGAGCCAGGCGTGGCCAGGGAGCAAATTTTAAAGACCCTTCCCTGGGCTGGAGAAAGGTAATAGCATCGGCAGATGATCACCACCCACCAAATCACCCTTACCCAACCCGAAGGCCCCGATTTGCCCTCCATTTCCAGTGGGGGGGGATCGGAGAACATTGGGAAAAACACGTATGAAGCCCGTACCCCCCCAACCCGAAATTCGGGTCTTCGGGTTGGGTTGGGGTGGTCTGGTAGGTAGTCAGATAGTCGACGACGCTGGTGGCTATCTGGCCTCTGAAGGGCCTCGTCGACTGCTCCTGGGCCCCAGGGGTGGTCGACCGACCGCGGGAGGAGCCCATGACCCGCACGGCGAGAATGAGTCCTGGATGATTTCGCTGAGCCGTTAGTGGAGGAGGAGGAGGAGGAGAAAAAGGAGGAGGAGGAGGAAGTGTTTGAACATAGCCGTGCGACTGGGTGAGGATGTAATTTTGTCCGGTACGTTTCGGACCGTTGTGCATGTTTGTCCGATACCATTGGTATTTGGCTCAAGCAATGTAAACCTCCATGGGGAAAGGCTCCAACCATATTTTCATGGTAGCGGAGCACGTGGTTCGCCTCACGTGTTTCATTGCGCGCGGCTGGGTCCGCAAAGCAATCTCTTATCTGCGATGGCTGCGGCGGCGGCCGCAACAGCCCCGCAGAATCCAGGTATAACGGCATAACTGGCCCGGTGTTTGATTTGACGTTGCCCGAGGTTCGAGAGAGGTGGCACAACCTGAGCACGAGCCCATTCGCGGAGCTGTGCAACGCCAGCGCGCTCGCCCAAGTAAAGCGTGGTTATCGGAAAGCCCTGAAACAGTGGGACAACAAGCTCGCAGCCATGGATGGAGCGCTACCTGACGACGAAGAGGACGATTGATAAATCAATGAATGGGAGGTTAACCCTGAGCGAAGACACCAAAGCGTCAACCATCAAGAGAGAAGAAGACGACGCAAACGGAAAATACGAGCTCGACGGTGACGATTACGCGAAGTTAGACGAGGACCTGTGGTATTTGTTGAATGACAAATTGGACACGGACCGAGCCACGGGGAAAGCTCGAGGGCTTGCACGAGGGAGATGGAGTACTGGCGTACCAGAAATCCGCCGACCCTGTCGGCGTGTGGGAGAGGTTTTTTCATCCGTCGCTCTCTCACTCGTCGTCTCCTCGTCATCGTCGTCGCCGTCGCCGTCGCCATTCCAAGCTTTCTCCTGGGCCTCCTTCTCCAACGCGTCAGCCGTTGCCTCTCACCCTGGGCATGTCTCGTTCAGCGTGCTAGCCAAAACAACAATAACGAACGTCGTAATTCATTCGACGGGAAGCCCCTTTCCTTGATCCCTTTCCGTCAATGTACGGCATTCGGGACGCCGCCAGCAACTGCGAGGAATGTAGTTTGGATTTGTCACGTGACATTGGTTTCGACAACGGGAAAGCATCTCCGTGCGCGTGTGAATGAGTGACACGGCGAATCTGGTTAAACATTCATGGAGACGGTTTACTCTTATATTCGGTAGCGACATGGATCTTCACTGGTTCGAGGGATAAGTCAAACATAAATTCGAAGTTCAAATCATGGGCAGATTCGGGCCCGAACTAAGAGATTTTGAATTCAATGCGGGTTCTAAACTGAGTTGTGGAATTGAACAGGGGTGGGTACTGGCATGGGGTGGATCAAAGGCATGCTGAGATAGTGGTTAGAGAATGAGGTCTGGAGCAATACAAAGTGAGATGTGGGATGCCAGGTGAAAAGCAGCCTTACGGAGAAGAAGATGACGAGCCACTACCAAAACACGAAATTGAAAAATACGAAGAATGCGTGACTCGAGCCAACTATTTGGCACGACGCTGTTCAGACATATTTGTCTCAGTTCAGGAGCCTGCGCGCGCTACGTGAGTTCCGGCCCGAGGGGCTTGGAAGAGCACCGTGAAGTTTGGCAAGGACCGCAAGAACCACGACAGGTGTGGACATCAGCACTTGTACCTGGAGCGCCTTCAGGAGTTAACTGTGTGGGCCGACACTGAATGCGCCGGATGTAAGAGGTCGCGTCAATCAACAAGCGTCTGGACAGTTATGTGAGGATCACATGGAACAGAATCGTGGAGCTCTAAACAGGGCGTAGTGGCACTATCTTCCGGAGAAGCGGAGCCTTCAAGAATGGTGGACGGTGGATCAGTAGCGTTAGGACTACAAACAGGTCTCGAACATTTCAGCGTTGATTGCGGTATCGTGTGAAAGAGCGACGCCAGCGCGGCCATTGCCATCGCAACTTGGCGGTGACTAGGAAAATCCAGGCATGTCGAGGTATGTCAGATTTCGGTGCAAGAGAAGGTGAGACGAGGAGACATCAAAGTGGTCAACGTAGGAACGCATAGGAATATTGCAGGTGCTTTGACCAAATATGTGAGCGGGGATGGCACGTCAACGCGCACGCGAAGTACAAATCAACAAATCGCTAGTGGAAGACACGAGCTGGCACCTGCAACAGAGTGCCAGCTTAACCAGTGCCGAGGCTACCATTGCGCGCCAGTTGGCCGGTGGACTTGGGTTTAGGATCCGTTGAGATCCAGGTGCTCGTCTGCACTCACCATGGAACATTATGATCACTCTACATAACCTGGTATATATCGACACCTTAAATGGTATATCTTCTGTTCGGAGGCCCCTGCCCGCTCACGCCTAAACAGCGGTCGCCTTTTGCCTGCGAAAATTATGCATTCTTTTTCTTTACGTACCTAGATTCACCACAGTATGTCTGACAGTTCCTATTTCACATGTGTATCCAACTCGCTTTATCCCAGTTATTTTCTCATCGCTCCACTCGACCAACATTGGCAAAAGGGGGCGTTTGAACATAGTCGCGCGATTGGTTGATGATGTTGGTTTGTCCGATGCGCTTCGGACCGCGCCACGCGTTTGCCCGATGCCATTGGAAGAGGAAAAGCAAGAAATATAATAATATGCAAATAACAGGAATTAGAAGATGCCGAAGAGGAGGAGGAAGACGAAGAGGAAAAGGAAGAGGAAGAGGAAGAAGAACAGCAGGAACAGGGGGGGCGTGGCAGGAGGGCCACTCATGGCTCCTGCGTCTGCGGCCCGCTCCCCCAGCCCGCGCACAGGGCGCCGGCCCTGCGTGCGCCGCCTCAGCGCAGCACCCACTGGTCGATGAAAGCAGATGTCTTTGGACTCGCAGATTCCAATATACTTGAGGCGCCTTCTCGGTTCAAGGATCGGGTGGTTTCCTTCTTCCCTCCTCTTCGGGGCGGAGATCCAACCTGCCCCCAGCGCCTTTTTAATTCGCGTGTCGACCTGCTTCTGCCGACCGATGGACACTGGCGGCGCGCTCGCACCGCGAGCAGCACTGCCAGCCTGCCCCTCCGCGCGGCTGCCGCGCCCTCATCACGGAGGCGCTCGGCCATCCGCTTAGCTGCCCGGCATCGCATCAGCGGGCTCGGCGCTCGGCTACCCGCAAGAGCGGCCCTTCGCCGGAGTGACCTTTGGTGCGCGGTGTTTGGGGGGCAAGGGGGGGCGTATCCCCGGCGCGCATGCCGGCGCTGTCGCACCGCAGGCAACGATCGGCGAACCGCGCATCAAAGGTCATTCTTGCTTGGGGCCACTCTTGTGTGTAGCCGAAGCACGCCCGTGCCAGGCTGTTATCGCAGGCATTGGCAGCAGACGCCCGCCTGGACCGAAACCACTGCAGCATGGCACCCACGTCAGCCAAGCAGGCCGCTTGCATCATGGAGCTGTTTCCGCTGCAGGACTACCAGCCGCAACCATAGGCTACAATGCGCGGTGCTCAGTGGAATGCGAGGGTGGCGAGTCCCGGCAGGTCGCCAGCCAGGCCTGCTGCGAAAGCGCAACCCGACACGGCGACCCCTACGAGAGCATCTCCCAGTCAATCCGCTCGTGTCTGGCACGCGGCCGCGGACGAAAAACACGGCCGAGCCCCCGAAGAGGATCGAAGCTTTAATCGCCCGGAGGAAGCCCGCAAGAACAAGGAGTGGATCGAATTGCCCGCGAGCATTACGGACATCCCGAAGTACAAGAGGAAGATCCAATCCCACATGAGGGGGAGATCGCGAAACACGTCATCACATGCCAACGTACAAAACAGCCCATCCAGAATGCTGAAGAAGGCCTTGCCATGCTCAACCACTGCCTCATCCTGACCAAGCCTGACAGCAAGATGCTCGGCACAATGAGGCAACAGCAAGCCCAGCTCCACGAGCACCTCGGCCAAGCTAAACTCCCAAGTAGACGAGCAGAGTGAGAATGCGGACCAAGGCGGCTTCGTCGACAACAGGGCGAAGACTCGAATAAGCACCTCTCCGAAGGCGCTGGTGGGAGGAAGCCTCGATCGCCGTCGGGTGCACGGTCGCGCCGTCTTAATGCGAGCAAGAACCGCGAGGTTGTGTCCAGCCTAGTCGAGCAGCTTACGGGCAGGAGCTTTTGCTCAGCGCATCGCACCGCCAGTTCTGGCCCACCACGCTTCGGCGCGAAACGCTAGCCACGTCCCAGTCCACGAGCGTCAACGTCAGAAGCCATTCCAGCCTCCCGCCACGCGGAGCAGAGCGACACGCTATCAGCCTGCAGGGCACGGCGCGTCGCCAGGGCCGCCGCCGCCGCGACACGCCAACCAAAAGTTCCCGAATGCAAGCAGCAACACGCTGTGCTTACTGCAGCATTCTCACCAGAAGAGCTCGGGATCCAAGTGGCCCCCGCCTCCCAGCGCGAGCTGCGGGATCTGACAGGCCGAGCGGGATGTCTCAATCCGCGAGCTCCGCCATCACGAGGCCAAGCTCGAGCAGGCGGCTCAATGCGTGCGCTCGAAGACGGGAGCCGTGCGCCAGGCCGAAGCCGAGATGAAGGCTTTGGACGACCGCCGCCTGGAGGCCCAGCCGAAGCCTCGAGCTGACATTGCCAGCCCTGCCGACGCACTGGCGCCGTCCACAGAGCTTGAGCTTCGCGCCGAGTTCCCGAAGAGTCGCCAGCGGCTCGACAGTCCGCAACAGTTGCGCACCAGGCTCCAGGCCAGCGAAGCGATCCTCAACCATGCCTCAAAAAACGGCAATGGCGGCAGCACCGCAGCTCGTCGCCCAGGCCGAGGAGCCCATGCAGCAGTTGCAGCAGGCGTCGTCAGCGAAGACCCAGGCCCTCAAGCGGCATGCGCGATAAGGGGCCGTCGAGGACGAACCGCAAACAGGCCATGAGGACCAGCTTGAGGTCGCAGCGGCACGTCGCGCTGCAACCGAGGAACTCGCCGCGCACTGCCTCGGCACTGCCCAGTCGGACGCCTTCGCCAGCGCTGGGACTCCTCGCAGGCGCGAGCGCCAGCTCATCACCGAGGCCAGGGGCTGCACGATTCTCCTCGTCGGCGGCGCCGCCTCGGAGTTCCAGGCGGCCCAGCGAGGCGGGGTAAGCAGAATGAGTCCTTCTACGGCGACCAACTGGCACGTCGCATAACCGTGGCAGCCAAGGTCGCCGCGGCCGCTTGCAGCGCCAGAGTGAAACGTAGCACGCCGCCAGCCTGGCCCGCCTCGCCGATGCAGCAGCGCAGGAGGCGCAAACCAACGCCCCTATCGCCAAAGAGAGGCGTTTGGAGGAGGGAGTTGCAGCAACGAGGCAGCACGCGGCGCCGCAACACGCGGTCTCCGCATGCCAGAAGATTCACCCCATGCGCGGCGGGGCGTTCGCCCGCTGGGCCAGGCTCCGCAACGAGCTGAAGCCGACGTGGCCGCACAGGAGGAAGGAATGAGGGAGGAGGAGGAGGAGGAGGAGGAGGAGGAGGAGAAAGCTAGGGAGGGAGATGGGAGGAGGGCAGAGGACGGATGAGGAGGAGGAGGAGGAGCAGGAGCAGGAGCAGGAGCTGGAGCAGGAGGAGGAGAAGGACGACGACGACGACGACGACGACGACGACGACGACGACGAGCAAGAGGAGACGATGGCTGCCACGAGACGGGACGGCTTAGCGGCAACGAGTTCGCTGCGACCAGCAAGGGTACACAAGTGTGCAGGGTCGGGGGTCAGCTTTCGAAGAGGCCCCCGACCTCCCCTGACGACGGGGGGGAGCGGGGAGGGCATCCCGAGAAGCCCGCTCCCGTCTACGAGACCCAATGCCTCCTAAAAAGTCTGCCCTCCCCTAACTTTCGCCCTCTTCAGACCGCTTTTGCGACGACTTGGCTCAGCTAGTTCACGGGCGAAGGAGGAGAAGGAGGAAGAGGAGGAGGAGGCGGAGGAGGAGGAGGAGGAGGTAGGAGGAGGAGGAGGAGGAGGAGGAGGAGGAGGGAGGAGAGGAGGAGGAGGAGGAGGAGAGAGGAGGGGGAGGAGGAGGAGGAGGAGAGGGAGGAGGATTGGGACAGAGAACGGAGAGAGGCGCGTCCCTCCTTCTCCTCCTTGTGGAGAAATCGTGCGCAGGAGGAGGAGGAGGAGGAGGAGGGGGAGGAGAACAGAAGGGGGATGATCTCGGAGTGCTGCGGGGTGTCATGTGGGCATCCTCCTGCCAGCTGGTGCCTATCAGGCATCCGTGGAGGTGTCCGCCAGAGCAGCCGGGGTGCAGATCGTGCAGCAACTCGATGCTAGTGGTGACTAGGGTTGACGCTTGTCTGCAGCTACGAGCAAGCAACAGCCTTAAGAAGACGAGGAATGCGAAGGAGGAACGGTGGGAAGGAGGAGGGGGGCTTCGGGGTCTTCCAGAGAGTTGATTTTCAGTTCGAGTCTCGCCTCCTCCGCCCTCCCTCCACTCATCATCTCCTCCCTCCCTCCTGTTCCATGTTGTTAATGCCTCTGCCTCCCCTCCCCTTGCCCCGTCCACCTCCTGCTCCCCCTCCCTCAGTCATCCCCCTCGTCCCTCCTGGTTTCTCCTCCGCTTTTGGCCTGTGGAGCTTCACCAGTGGATCTGGAATGCCAGGAAATTCAGGATCCAGCGCGGGAGACCAGGTGATAATGCATTTCGCTCCCTCCTCCCTGCTCCTCCCCGTCTTGCTTCCTTCTTCTATCCTCCCTCATCCCACCTACCTCCTGATATTCCCTCTGTCCTCATCCCTGGTCCCTCCCTTTGAGTCCTCCTCCCTCTTCTCTCGTTTCCTTTCTCTCAATAGTATGGAGTCATTTCTGTTCCCTCTTCCCTCCCTACTCTTTCCTTTTTCGTTACTCATTCTGGTCCTCCTCTTCTTCCTCCTCCCTCCGCATGCCGCCTCACTCACTCCTTCGTGCCCCCTCCCCTTCTTCCTCCGCCCTCCTCCTCCTCCATCCGCCCTCCTCCTTCCTCCTTCCTCCTCCTCCTCCTCTTTCCTCCTCCTCCTCCAGATAGTCGCTGAGGCGCCCCCGCCGCGCCTCTCGCGTGCATTCCCCCGGAGCGACGACCGTCGGCGATCGCCCGTTCGTTCGTTCGTTCGCTCGCTCGCTCGCTCGCCCGCTGCATCATCATGATCACCACCATCGTCATCATGATCATGATCATCATCATCATCATCAGCATCATCATCATCATCATCAGCAGCAGCAGCAGCATCAGCAGCAGCATCGTCATCGTCAGCATCAGCATCAGCATCATAACCATCGTCATCATCATCAGCAGCATCGGCATCAGCATCATAAGAATCAGCATCATCATCAGCAGCAGCATGATCAGCATCACCATCGTCATCACCAGCAACATCCGCATCATCATCATCATCATCATCGTCATCATCATCGTCATCATCATCAGCAGCAGCAGCATCAGCAGCAGCAGCAGCACCAGCAGCAGCATCAGCAGCAGAATCAGCATCAGCATCATCCCTTCTGTCCTCCTCCTTCTCCTCCTCCTCCTCCTCCTCCTCCTCCTCCTCCTCCTCCTCCTCCTCCTCCTCTTCCCTAATCTCCATCTCCTCCTCGTGGTTTCCTTTCTCCCTCCCTCTCTCTCCCTCTCTCTCCTTCCTCTGTCCTCTCCCCCGCGCTAGAAGAGCGGAGGAAGCATTATCGTGTAAGGTCTGGCGGTGCCCGCTTCAGGCCCTGGGTGGGCCCGTGGCTTGGAAGTGCGCGCTAGAGGTTCGGGTGCCTGGACCACCCGCGGGGGGCACGAATATACTCGCGCGACGAGGTGGCCTTCTCGCTGGTGTGGCAGCTTGCCCTTCCCCTTTCCCTTCCCCTTCCCCTTCCCCCCCTCCTCCTCCTCCTCTTCCTCCTCCTCTTCGTCCTCCTCCTCTTCCTCCTCCTCCTCGTTTTGCACCTCGAGGATTTGTTTCGTTGGTATGCTGGCCACGCCTGCCTCTACGAGAGGCGGTGCCACAAGGGCACTCCCTGCCCATCGAGTCTCTGGGCACTCCCTGCCCATCGATTTCACAGGGCAGCCTAGGCAGCGGACATACGCCTGGCATCGCTCGGACGTGTGCATTTTCTCTCGGCGAGGACCCTGGAGGAGCATCCTGGATCATCGAGCAATTAAAAACACGCACGAAACCGAAAAATGCTCAGGGAATGGACGTCCGAGCGATGGCAAGTACGTAGCATGCGCACTGTTTGTATAGTATGCCCGTGTTGGCGAGTAGCTTCCGCTGCAGCCTGACCAGCTCGCCTAGTTGCGTGTTGTGCCCCGGCGTCGGCCGAAAAAAAAAGAGCTTCGCCACGTTCGAGTAGAGGGGACGTTCGGGCATGCCACTTTCGAGGGAGCCGTGGCGAGGCACGCCCCTGAGGGCCAAGGCCTGGCACGCTCCTGGCTCTGCTGAGGCAAGCGGCCCACGGCCTCGGCGCCGCTGGCCATCCGCCGAGTGCGAGACCCTGTGCTGGCTGCGGCTTCTTGTTGCTTCCTGCGGCACGTTCCAGGTGAAGGGTCAGCAAGCGCAGGGCGCAGGTCTGCGAGTGAGCTGGCATGCTCGGGCCACATGTTCTGGTGCAGATTCTCGAGGTTGACTGGAAGCCCGACCCTGCCAAGTCAAGGATGCCCTCGTGTCCCCTGTTTAGCGGCCCAGGTGTTCTGCATCCCTATGGGGAGTGTGGCCCTCGGGAGGGTCTCGTGTCCTCTCGCATGGCCCCTCCGATCATACTCGACGGCAGCCAGAGCCCGCCTGCGCGTGCCCCCTCGTGGCAGGCCGTTCCTGCCCAGCGCTATGTTGCAGGGAGACGCGTGAAGAGCGTGCGCAGTTCCGGGAGCTGCGGCACCGTGTTGGGCGAGAAGACGGGCGTCAGAATTGGGGCGGATCGCCGTTCGGGGGGTCGGCTTGAGTCCCATGGAGGGCCCATGATGGCCCTGGTAGGCTAGGCTGTGGTGGACACGAGATGTGCCAGAACACGTCGGGGCGAGGGGTTCCGTCCGCACGATCCCATCTCAAGTCGCAGACGTGCTGGTTGGCTCGAGGGGGCAAACGTCGCTGCACTCATCATCGTCGCTTATTCATCGCTGACAGAGGCCCGACAGCCCACCCCGCCCGGAAACGTGCGGATCGGCTATCGGGGGCCCATCGGCGATGCATCGCCGATTCTGGCTCGATGCTTTCCCGCCTTGAGTTGGTCGCCCCCCATCGTTGCCGCTCACTCCAGCCAGGGTGGCCTGGTCAGGGGGGGGGAGGGGGGTGGCCGTGGCGCTGTGGGGGCCTTTGGAGGTGGAGGAGGAGAAGGAGGAGGAGGAAAGAGGAGGAGGAGGAGGAGGAGGAGGAGGAGGAGGACGAGGACGAGGACGAGGAGGAGGAGGAGGAGGAGGAGGAGGAGAAGGACGAGGAGGTGGAGAAGGAGGAGGATGAGGAGGAGGAGGAGGATGAGGAGGAGGAGGAGGAGGAGGAGCCCGCTGTGGGGGCCGTGTCGCTGTGGGGGGGGCCGTCTGGGCCGCGGGGGGCAGGGAAGGCGCCCCCGAGCCCGTCGACGCGGCCCGCGGTCGGGCAATTACGGTGTGGGCGTTCGTTAAAGGGATGTGCCCAGGAGATGATCGTGGGCACATTCCTTAACGAGCCAGGTGATCGGTGACGCGCCGGCCTCGGAGTCCCCGTGCGCCTCCGTGTGGAAGACATCCACAGGGGCCGTGGGTCCAAACTTCGGGCGCGAGTCCGCCACACGGGGTGCACAGGGGCTAATCCTGTTCGGTGGTCAGAAGTCTGCGGGTCTAACGAGGTGTATTGGTCCACCGGGCAGGGCGTCGGGATTGATTGGTGGATTACGGCGAGCAGACCTTGGAGGATTCTTTACCTAGTGAGGGCGGCGGTGATATCCATGGCTGATCCACGATTGGAGTTCCACCAGCTTCCAGAGCCTGGGATCTTTATCTGAGGGTTACTTATCCAATGTCCTCACCGTAGCTGTTCTGCGGGGGCGCTCGGAACGGTTGATGGACAAACTCCTGCACCTTTTTATGCTGATTTTTGTGAACACAACACCTGCGCGCCCAATTGAATATCCAGCTGCCTACGGCAAGTCCCGCCGCCGTGCATGGGGTGTGGGTATGAAGCCATTTGTATGTTTGTTGGAATATCGTGGGAGGCTTCTTGGGCGCTTCTTGTGGCCTCCTGGGGGCCTCTTGGGGCGGAAGGCTAGGATATTCGGTTCGTGCTCCTTCTCGAGCCTCTGAGGCCCATCCGAGGCCGAGAAGGCAGGGAAGCAAGCCAAAGCACAGAAATTGTTAGATCATTCCAGCCTCTTAGGGGCTACCTCGGGACACCTTGGGGACACGCTGGGCTCTCCCTGGCCATCTTGGAGGCTAACTGCAGGCCGCATTGAGAACACGCAGGCTACCCCCCTCATCGCTCACTGCTCCCTCCAGTCGGTGTCGTCGTAGTCGTTCGCGTCGCTGCGTTCGTTCGTCTGTCGTCACGGTCCTCTTTGTCGTGTCGTTCGTCGCCATCGCCGTCGTCGTGCGTCTTCGTCGCCGTCGTCGTCGGTGGCCGCCCTCTTCCTTGCCCGGACCTCGTGACTCTACGCAGGCGCGCGCGGTGGGCCGACCTGGCATCCTGGAATCCTTCCTCTCTCCGCTCTCGTTCGGGGGCGGCCAAGAGGGAGGTGATGACTAGGGGGGGTGGATATCATGGCGTGGGCCACGATTTGCCCTCGGGCTTCATGGCGCCTCTTCTTGTTCCACTGCGTCCCTGGGCCCCCCTCGGGCCGCGCGCATGCCGCCGGCCACGATTTGCGCCCCCCCCCCACCCTCTTCGACGCCCCCCTCTCTGCCGCCCCCGTCCCTCTTCGTCGCCCCCCTCTTCGACGCCCCCCCCTCTTCGACACCCCCCTCTTCGACCCCCCCCTCTTCGACGCCCCCCCCTCTTCGACGCCCTCCCTCCTCGCAGGCCAGTCGCCGCCACCGACGGGCTGGTCCTCGCTGCGGCACGGCCGGCCGCTGCGCCGGAGCGAGAGCGCCGCCGCGATCATGCAGGCCGCCGCCCCGCCGGCCTGCCGCCCGCAGCCGTGGCAGCTCAGGAGCGGAAAGAACACACAGACACAACTGATCGTCGATCCCCAGAAAATATGGGAAAATATGGGAAGTGGGGGGGAAGACAAAAACCCGAGAAATATAGGAAAATATGGGGAATCCTGTTATTTGTGTTTATTTATTATCTTGCACAGGGTGTCTAGAGCTTCGACCACTTTATTTCGGCGTCGTCGTCGCTCCCCCTCAGCTGTCTTGTGCCCTTCATGTGTCGCTATATGTGTCGCTGTGTGCCTTGTGCCCTTCATGTGCCGCTATATGTGTCGCTGTGTGTCGCTATGCGTCTCCATGTGTGCGTCGCTATGTGTCGCTGTGTGTCGCTATGCGTCGATATGTGTGCGTGTGTCGATGTATGTCTCTATATGTCGATATGTGTCGACATGTGTCGCTATGTGTCGCTCCCCAGCACCCAGCGCACCGCCCCCTCCGCCCCGACGACTTTATTTCGGCGTCGTCGTCGCCCCCCCCCCCCCTCTCCCTCTCCTCAGCAGCCCAGCGCGCTGCCCCCTCCGCCCCGACCACTTTATTTCGACGTTGTGTCGACATGTGTCGCTATGTGTCGCTCCCCAGCACCCGAGCGCACCGCCCCCTCCGCCCCGACGAGTTTATTTCGGCGTCGTCGTCGCCCCCCCCCCCCCTCTCTCTTTCCTCAGCAGCCCAGCGCGCTGCCCCCTCCGCCCCGACCACTGTATTTCGGCGTTGTGTCGACATGTGTCGCTATGTGTCGCTCCCCAGCACCCCAGCGCACCGCCCCCTCCGCCCCGACGACTTTATTTCGGTCGTCGTCGCCCCCCCCCGCAGCCCAGCGCACCGCCCCTCCGCCCCGACCACTTTCGGCGTCGTCGTCCCCCGACCTTTCTCTCCGCCCCGATTTTATTTCGGCGTCGTCGTCGCCCTATTTCGGCGTTGTGTCGACATGCGTCGCTTTCCCCAGCAGCCCAGCGCACCGCCCTCTCCGCCCCGACCACTTTATTTCGGCGTCGTCGTCGCCCTATTTCGGCGTTGTGTCGACATGTGTCGCTATGTGTCGCTCCCCAGCACCCCAGCGCACCGCCCCCTCCGCCCCGACGACTTTATTTCGGCGTCGTCGTCGCCCCCCCCCCCCCTCTCCCTCTCCTCAGCAGCCCAGCGCGCTGCCCCCTCCGCCCCGACCACTTTATTTCGGCGTCGTCGTCGCCCCCCCTGTCCTTTTCCCCAGCAGCCCAGCGCGCCGCCCTCTCCGCCCCGACCACTTTATTTCGGCGTCGTCGTCGCCCCCCCCCCCCTCCCCAGCAGCCCAGCGCACCGCCCCCTCCGCCCCGACCATTTTATTCTCTTGCACAGGGTGTCTAGAGCTCCGACCATTTTATTTCGCGTCGCTCCCCCCCCCCCCCGCGTCCTCAGCGCCAGAGTGGGGCCCCCGCGCCGTGGCTCTCTGCCCCAAGCCCCCCCGCGTCCCCAGCGCCCCAGCGGGGGCCCCGCCCACTGCCCCCTCCGCCACGAACGCTTTATCCCGCGTCGCCCCCCCCCGCCCCCCCGCGTCCCCAGCGCCAGTGTGAGGCCCCGCGCCGTGGCTTTCTGCCCCGAGCCCACCGCGTCCCCAGCGCCCCAGCGGGGGCCCCGCCCACTGCCCCCTCCGCCACGAACGCTTTATCCCGCGTCGCACCTCCCCCCCCCCCGCGTCCCCAGCGCCAGTGTGGGACCCCCGCGCCGTGGCTCTCTGCCCCAAGCCCCACCGCGTCCCCAGCGCCCCAGCGGGGCCCCCGCCCACTGCCCCCTCCGACACGAACACTGTGTTTACGCGTCGCCCCCCCCCCTCCGCGTCCCCAGCGCCAGAGTGGGACCCCGAGCCCCCCCGCGTCCCCAGCGCCCCAGCGGGGGCCCCGCCCATTGCCCCTTCCGCCACTAACGCTTCATCCCGCGTCGCGCCGCACACCACCTCCCCCACTTCCCTCCCCGCGTCCCCAGCGCCCCAGTGGGGACTCCGCCCCGTGCCCCCTCCGCCCCGACAATTTTATTCCGCGTCGCGACGCACGCCACCTCCCCCCCTTCCCTCCCTTTTTCCCCAGCGCCCCAGTTGGACCCCCGCCCCGTGGCCCTCTGCCCCAAGCCCCGCCCAGTGCCCCCTCCGCCCCGACAGTTTATTCCGCGTCGCGGCACACACCACCACCCCTCCTCTCCGCGCCCCCAGCGCCCCAGTGGGACCTCCGCCCCGTGCTCCCTC